TGTACTTATCTTTAAAATCCAGCATTGATTTGACCCTGGCCCTTGCCAGCGTATCTCAAACAGACCTTTGAAGAGGAAGGAGGTCCTCCACATGAACTCAGAGTTACACCCTCTCATGCCATCACATGAGACCAGGACCAGTTACATAGGCTCTGTATTAATGACTGGAAGAAAATATGACTAAATCTTACACAGTGGTTTCTTCAGCCAGAATGATTGTTATTTTTCTCCTTAAATAACTTTTGCACTTTCCAAATTTTCTTGAAGTGAAGAAATAATTATTACATATGTGTATATATAAGTATACATGTGGTGTGTGCAGATATGTGTCCATGGAAAGAGTCATATTACCTTTTAATTCTATTTTTCTATGATCTTTCTGAAGTACCCTCGTGTGTGTGTGTGTGTGTGTGTGCGTGTGTGTGTATCAGCAAACGTAAAAGATGGCACATTTAAGAATGCCAAGGCATAGAATTCTCTCTATTAAGAGAAGCAGGGAGAATAGATGATCTCAGCCTCCTGAATTGAGCATTTCAAACTATTTAATTTAGATATTAAATATCACTATTTTTGACAACAACAGCAAAGAAAAAGATCACTTTTGTGGTCTTGACACACATAAGGCTTAAAAATACATCTGCATATACAGAGTTTTTTCTAGAATCCATTGCAAACGTGTGTACAAAAATATTAATACTAATATTAATATTAGCAATGCGTGTTAATTCTCACAACAAATGAAATTGGTATTCTTTACTTAGTTTTGCAGATGTCAAAACAGAATCCTAGAGATGTTAAATTAAGTTGGCTAATGCACACTCCTGAGAATCATGAAGTTCAGCTTTGATCCCTAGTCTACTTGAGATGAAGCCAGCACCTAAACCACTACACCGCACTAAGTGATGCAGGGAATAGGGCTAAGACCAGTTTTACAAATTTATGTAGCACTCTTCCAACCAGGGCTTCTATGGAGGAAAATAATAATGTTAAATTGCTACTCTGTGGAGCTGGGAGTGAGGTGGAGGGGGGGAGGAAACTGAGAAAATTTAATCCAGGTATTTTGCTTTTGGTGGCAAAAGTCAACGCAGAGGTGGAATCTGAAGAATCAAATAATCCTAACATTGACCCTAACCTTAACTCATAAAGTGCTATCTCAATTTCTCTAGCTGTTTAAACAACCTGGTGGGCATCAGATCTCATTTCACTCACCCATTTGTATAGCAACCAAATTCTGGGCAGGCTTCAGGGAGCATCACAGGAGTTGCCTCATTTTTCTTCTTGGTAACCCTGGCCCCCATGTCCTCAGCAGCTCTCCCCTGAAGAGAATCCCACCTAAGCTCTTAGATGCCCATGACTCCAGGCCCTCTTCACAGCTGGCTTTCAGCCGGCACAGGGAACCCACAGTCATGGCACCCAGCCTGGGCTGACTGTAGTCTCAAACTTCCCCAGTGGGTGAGGGCCCACAACTGTGTGGGAAATTTGTAGGAAACAAGGCAGCTCCATCCTGCAGGAGGTATCATGAAAGATGTTTGCACAATCTGACCTATCAGGCACCCGAGTGGTGACCACGACAGTTATTCCCACTCTAGCCCTGTTGCTTTGGAACTTGATAAATGCAGCCAAATGGGTGATTTAGAATGACTGAATCCTCACTGGACAGAACCATACACACACACACACACACACACACACACACACACACACACACACAAAGCAATGGCGTCCTTTTAAAAAGTCAACTTCATTCTTTGTTTCTTCTGATTATGAAATAATAAGACATGCTTGATGATAAAAACTCTCACAATCCACACATTTATATAGAAAAAGTGAAAGTTCCAGGACCCCTACACCAAAATGTAACCTCAATCAACAGTTTTTGTGTGTCCTTATAGAGCTTTCTTTCTGCATTTAGAGACATATATCCTCCCTCCTCCAGGGGATTACACTCTGCACACTATTTGCCACATTTCTTTTTGCACTTAGGCATCACTTCATGTTAATCATAGAGATCTACCTCATTTTTTAAAATCTCCTACAGAATATTCCCCGTTAAGTGTGAGCCATCATTTATTTACACGATCCCTTATTAATGACCATGCAGGTTGTTTCCAATTCTTTGCTGCTATAGACAATGCTAACTCAAATATTTCCCCACTTGTCAACTGAGATGCTAACTTACAATTTCTCTTCACTTGGGAACTGGTAAAACTCTTAACTGGCCGCAGCAAAGATACAGTTCCTTCTGGGTGGGGGCATTTCATATTTCTCTTCTTACCTCTGCAGGTTCTGCTGATCTCTTCCATGTGTCTGATACATGCTTCACCCCATACCAGTCAGCCAGCACTAGAAGGTTGCTTTATCTCAGGACCTGTTACATTTTTGGCAGAATAATTCCCAGGCTCAGTCAGCATTGCTTTCCTAAGTCATTCTCTGCCCCAATCCCTCTGTATGTTTCCTTTTTATCCAAATGTAACCTGGTGTCACTGGAGCCTCCCAGAGACTTAGGGAAGCTGTCTCAACTCCAGTTCCTGGGTCTTGGGCATCTGGAAGCCTCACTGTCTTTTCTGAGTCTTGCTTCCTCTTGCTTCTGCTTCTTTTAAGAGTCCTGGCACCATTCTCATGCTTACTGCTCTCCAGACCTGAACATGAAGCTCCATCCTGTCACCTTTAAAAGCGGTCCATTGTGAGTCAGTTTTCCATTGAACTGGTGGCAGAACAGAGAAGGGGTGGCTTTGGGTGCGTAAATCCCTCCACCATTTCTCCCTCTGGTGCCCTCCTGCTGTCCTGCCTCTCTACCCTCTGGTTCCCACAGTGAAAGCCACCCTGTCACGGTCCTTGGAAAGCGGAATGCCTCATTCCACAGCTCTCAGCCCAGCTCGCCTTTCTCAGCATCACTTTCCAGTCTGATGAATTAAAAGTCTGCCATCTTGACATGCAAAAATACCATCTTTCTATCCCAGAAGTCCCATAGCTCCAAGTCTGTGTCTCTAACTTTCACCAGCTGCTTCTACGGTTAGCCTTCACCTTGGGTATGTGAGTTCTAGAGTTCTAGTCCTTTGGGCAGGAAGGGAAACTTCCAGATTTACCCATTATTTAAAAGAATCCCCCTTGGACAGTAACACAAACATGGTGCCTCTCCCTGTGTAACCGTATTGGTAACAGTAATTCAGGATTTGGCTGTTTAGTTATTTCATGTCCACTGTCTTGTGACCCAGTAACCTCCTAACTTGTGCCCTGCGGTTAGTTGGAGTTTATGCTGGCTTCTCAGGGAGAGACATCCACTTGGGAGAAGTTATTAAGACACGCTGTTCAGGAAAATAAATTGAGATGCAAAATTTGGGAGTGACTGTGGACTGATCCATGACATCAGGACATCTCTTCGCTCAAACACTAGTTAGTAAGATGAATTATGGAGACATTCTCTTGAATAGTCTTCTTTAGCAGCATTATATTAATGTTGCTATCTGTGGACAGTCATGACAGTGCACTCATATGGTCAGCTTCTAAGTGTTTCTTGAATAATGTACACACAGAAGCACTTCCACTCCTCCCCAACCCCAAGCTACTCTTTTTTGAGGATGACAAACACCATCTTCGGTTATTTTATTTTCTATTTCCAACAATCTTATGAGATAAGAATATTATTATCTCAACTTAAAATGAAAAAACTGAGCTCTGGAAAAGATACATAACTAAAAGATACATAACTAAAAGATACAGCCAGTGAACAGTGGGGTCAGGATTCAATCTAGCTCAAAATGACTCCAAAGTTGTGGCCATTCATTACAAAATTGACTGTCTCGGAGACTGAAACTTTCTGATTCACTTCAATGAGGCTCGTTGAAAAAAGTTTTCCAATCTAGTAGTAACTTTGAAAACCCAGAAAAACAACATGACTAACTTTAAAATAGGTTCCAAAAATCTTGAATGTTTGCACTTGTGAAATCTCATATTTAATTAGAGGAGGTGGATGACATAGAAGAATCTTGAGAATGTTTTAAAGGGAAGCGGAAAGAATTTTGAAAGGCTTTGGAGACCAACAGCATAGGCTCCTTTGTTTTAGTTTTTGTTTCCTATGTCTATGGTGAAAAAAAAAGAAAAACGTAAGAAAAGTATATGGCATGTATATGTATGGAGCTAGTTAAAAATAGAAAATTGCAGTGCCTGGTGCTCTGCCCTGATTATACAGCATCCATTCTTTATTATGCCTACATTTCTGTAATATAGACACATTTCCCTTTCCTTGACACGGTCAGGACCATTTCCTACTCAACCTGGATTAGAATCATTCTAATGATTCATGGAAGAACAAATAGAAAGAGAAAGAGAAAATAATTCCTGTGATAAAAGGGCAAAAACCGGAAGAAGACGAGAGAAGGAGATGATGAAAGAGGATGGATGGATGAGTGTTTGTGCAAAAGCTTTTTTCTGAGGTGGAATGAATGGAGCTAAAAGAGAAAAAAACAGAAAAAGGCCGTAGACTTTGGAAAGAAGAAAGGATGTGCTGCTGGTGAAGGGATGGCGCTGTTGGTACTATGGGTTGGAGTTTTAGCTGTTCTCTGGAGCACATGAGGAGGAGGAAGGGAGCAGAAGGGGCAGCCCACGTGTGAGGGGAGGGGACATTCAGGGGGGGGGACACTATGACCAACTTGAGAGACATCCCCTAGATTGAAGGACTGTGAGTGAGCATCTCATATTCTGTTCTAAGTAGAAAGATCAATGCCCAGACACTGTTTTATTGCTGGTTTGTTGTTATTGTTTACTAACATAAAGTGTTGCATAAATACTGAGTGGGTGTTGAAGCATAGAAGTCAGGAATTAAAAATACAATAGCAGGAATCTGAGTAGTATCTTGGAAGAAAAAAAGTGCTGCAAGTCATTCAGTAGACTGGAAGTGTCAAAAGGGTCTCATCGCTAAGCTTTCTCATTAAATGCATTTATTTAATTTATCATTACAGTCTACATCGCTTTTTTATTTATTTTTTTAAATTTTCTTCCAGGAGCCTCGCAAACAACAATCTCCAGACACTCCCAAAAGATATTTTCAAAGGCCTGGATTCTTTAACAAATGTGTAAGAGGACCTAAGAAATCACTGATTACGATTAATTAATTAACAAGGAAGCCTGGTATTGATGATTATAATTTTTAATTGGCTTTAAAATTAAATTTGCATTTTTTAATTTAAATTTTTAATTGGCCTAGATTTTAAATTTACATGAACTAACGTTTGAGTCTTCTATGGTATTTACCATTGAAATTCTGAATACATAGTACCCAGGCATTCCTTTGACAAAGTGTGTGTCTGTATGGGAGGGGGTGATGATAAGGGATTTGGAGCGGGTAGGAAGAGGATGCCCAGATAGAAATTTCACGATCCCTTTTTTCCCATGAAGTCCAGGAAATGGGGCCACAATGGAAAAACATAAAGGAGTCTGGAGGGGTGATGATAAGGGATTTGGAGCGGGTAGGAAGAGGATGCCCAGATAGAAATTTCACGATACCTTTTTTCCCATGAAGTCCAGGAAATGGGGCCACAATGGAAAAACATAAAGGAGTCTGGAAATCTGACAGAGTAAAGATGAAAGGTTACACCCATGGGCTGGTCAGTCAACAGAGAAATGGAGCAGAAAGTGGGGGGAGGGACAAAAGTTTTCCTTTTCTCTCATTAGACTGAACAACAACTCTAGGTTTAATCCCCAGGAATTTGGCTTAAGCCCCAGGAAGGGAATGAACTTAATTACTTTTGACCCTTTTTCAAACAAAAGAGCTTTCAAACTTTGACTTTTAAGCCTCAGAGTGAAAGATCTTTGCAAGGAATTTGTGTATTTTGCTGTAAGCAAAGCAAGTAATATATGTCTAACCCTCTCGAAAGCAGTTCAGCTTAATCGTCTTCCAGAACATTAGGACATTAGAAATATATTTAAGTATCATAAGGTAGAATACAGGAACAAATGAAAGGACATAAGAAAACAAAAGATTTTTTGTTAGTCAGGTATTTTGCTATAAAATATACATTCAAAACAACTTTTTTCCAATAACAAACAAAATCTATCAAATATAAGCCCAGTATTCAACTTCACATCAGTAAGCAAATGATAAACTTTCTTTGTTCCTTACAGTATTCCCCCAGCCCTTCCTCCATGTTTTTGCAGAATTTGCAAAGTCTCAAGACCTGCCTTATCAATCACTGTCCATAGACACTTTTTCTTATATGAATGATGAATATGTGGTCATCGCTCAGCCTTTTACTGGAAAATGCATTTTCCTTGAATGGGACCATGTAGAAAAGACCTTCCGGAATTACGACAACATTACAGGTATGAAAAGCCTAGTGACATTTTGAGCAGGAAGTTAAACTGCTTCAGCCAAGGTTAATAGGAAGAGATGAGTTGTATGCGGAAATGCTTTGAGCAGACTTAGAGCCATTTGACTCCCAACTCTACTATTTCCTAAATAACCTGGTATTGTTCTCTAAGCTTTAATTTTCTCACTTGTAAAATGAGAATAATACCTAGCCTACAGGGTCGTTAATAAGATAATGTGATCATGTATTCAAGAAACTTAGCATAGGACCTAGCATAGTAAATACACAATAAAAGTTGGATTATTTTTCTTTAAAGAAAAAGTATTAGACCAGGCATCATGAGTTCTAATCCAGATTCTGCCACAATCCAGCTGGCCAAGCCACTCACCCTCACTGGACCCTCCTTTTTCTTAAATATAAAATAGGGAGATTATTTTAGATCAACAAGTCTCAAACTTTGTTATACAAACATTTCTTCTACAAAATGTTAACATATACCTTGAAACATAAAGGGTTTTGCGGTCCAGTAAATCTGTGAACAATATCTCCCTCGTGGAGATTAATAATATATACATTAGAGGCTCTGAGAAGTCCCGCAGTAAGGAATTTTGAACACTTAATTTGGCCATGGAATCCAATTTTTTTTCCATGAAAACTTTTACTCAGGTGATTGCTTAAGTTTGTTCCCCATTTCAACAATTTTTAAAATTATGAGTCATAAATTAGAATGGGGGACTCTCTTTGATATGTTTACACCAGGTTTAGCTTCTCTCACACCTTTAAATCTGCTCCTAAGAGTGCTCAAACCTCCCCATAAAAGGTCGCACTTTAGCTAAGGCTTGGAGGATCATAATTAGATTTTGCTGGTGGCCATCAGCTCCACTGCTCAAAGGAGCAAGACAGATCTGGAGCATGCTTGAGACTGGGGTTGCTCAGATACAGGGATCCCCTCCAAACTGAGAATGTCTTTCTTCCTCAAGGAAGAAGTCTGTGCTTCCCCTCCTCCCTAAGCACCCCCACCCCCACCTCCACCCCACCCCGGCTAAGTTTTCCAGTGGACTGCAGCAGGGTTTTGTGCAGTCTAAACCAGGTTCTTCTTTTTTTTTTTTTTTTTTCCTTTTTTTCATGACTGGCAACGAATCGCAACCCTCAGTGTCGTGCCCGTACCGGACCAGGACCGACAATGGGATTGCAACCCTCGGTGTTGCTCCCGCACCTCGCTCAGCCAGTGAGCGGCCGGTCTGTATGTGGGATCCGAACCCTGGGCGGGAGCGCCACCGCGCTTCCCAAGCGGCGCACTGTAGCAGTGCGCCACCGGGCCGGCCAAACCAGGTTCTTCTGACAATTGCTTTGGATGGATCTTTAGATGAGCACTTAAAAGAGATATGAATCATACATTTGCAGACCTTCAGAGGACACCCCAGAGCTCATTTTATCTAAGATGATGTCTTAGTCCCTTCCTGCTGCTGTAAGAAAAATATCTTAGACTCGATAATCTATAAACAACAGGAATTTATTTTTCACAGTTCTGGAGACTGGGAAGTACAAGATCGAGGCACCTGCAGATTCAGTATTTGGTGAGGGTTCATGCTCCGCTTCAAAGATGGCATCTTCTTTTCTTTACATGGCAGAAAGGCAAAAAAGGACCAAAAAGACTCCCTCAAAACCATTAGTAAGGGCACTAATCACCACCTAAAGGCCCTACCTATTAATACTATTGCACTGGGGATTAAGTTTCAATGTCAGTTTTAGAGAGACAAACTTTTAAACCATAGCTGTTGACAAATATATGTCATATGTGGTCACTCTACCCTGCCTCATCCCAGACAGACACTGCTGATCTGTCGTGGTGCTTTTCCTTGCAGAGTGCAGACATGGCCACAATACTGAGCAATTGCTCAGTATTGGTCTATATCTTGATCTAGTGGTCATCCTGATCTAGTCTAAACCCTCATTATGCAGAAGAGAAAAACTGAACCCCAGAGAAGTTAAGTGATTTTTCTAGGTTCACACAATCGGTTTAGTCCTGGAAAGAGTCACAAATAAAATAATTTTGCCTATGGATGAAGCTAAATAGGAGAAAGTGTTAATGTGGAACTTTTTGCCCCACAACCCCTAGAGCAGCAGCCAGAAGAAGCCTGGGGCCCAGATTTACCTTGCCTGTCTTTGGATTTCCTACAGCCAAGCTTCCTGTAGGAGATCAGAATCTATTGATAAATGTCACATTCTTTCCAAAAGGATACAAGCTAGGCCACTGACAGACCCCATATTATTTTCCAAGACTTCCCAATATAACTTTTAGGATCATTGTCATGGCTGTACCCCTCTTCCAGTTTTCTCAAAGATTCCTCTTGTGTCTCTTCTCTCCTGCCACCAGTGACCTAAAACTTCAGAAAAGTGTTAAGTGGCATCTCTTCCCTTCATCGTAGGAAATTGAAGTTATTCTAGAGCAGGAAGCAGTTCACACTTAGAGCAAACCAATTACAGGTAGAGCCGTGGGCTGCCCAGACCACAGCTTTAGCCTTCGTAGGGTGGTTCTAGAACCTTGTGGGATCTCTTCACCCAAGGTGGAAGCCCTGGAACAGCTAACCTCCCCTTTGCTTGAGACATTGGTAGGCCTGGCTTTGAATCCCAACTCTGCCTTCTGCTAGCAGGACTTAGCCTCCCTGAGCTTCAGTTGGCTCATCTGGAAAAGGGAGGATAATCATATTTGCCTCTTAAGATTGTTGGGAAAATTTAATGAGGTGATTTGACAGAGCACACAGTAGGTGCTTAATAAATGGTAGTTGTTGCTAGAATTACTATGATTAACTCACAGTGTGTCAAGGAAAGTAGTCCTTTCTTTCTGCAAGAAGTGAGGAGAGAACTCAGGCTGTAGCTGTGTGTCCTGAACACCTACAGCAGTTCAGAGGTGACAAAATGACTCACTTGTAAGTAAGGAGGCCCCATGAGGCACAAAGACCAGAACTTCATGACACTACTGCCACTGAGCCTTGGAGCTTGGCCTTGCCTAATCAAAACAAGGAGATCTCTTGTTTCAGGCAGATTTTGGTGGAAGTTGTGTGGCCCTGGCCTGCATGTTTACAAGCTCCAGAAGAGGATGGCCATACAACTAATGTCTCATTTGTCTTTTCCCAGGCACGTCCACTGTAGTGTGCAAGCCTATAGTCATTGACACTCAGCTCTATGTTATCGTGGCCCAGCTGTTTGGTGGCTCTCACATCTATAAGCGGGACAGTTTCACAAATAAATTCATAAAAATCCAGGATATTGAAATTCTCAAAATCCGAAAACCCAATGACATTGAAACATTCAAGATTGAAAACAACTGGTATTTTGTTGTTGCTGACAGTTCAAAAGCTGGTTTTACTACCATTTACAAATGGAACGGAAATGGATTCTACTCCCATCAATCCTTACATGCATGGTATAGGGACACTGACGTAGAATATCTAGAAATAGCCAGAACACCTCTGACTCTCAGAACGCCTCATTTAATCCTGTCCAGTAGTTCCCAGCGTCCTGTAATTTATCAGTGGAACAAAGCAACGCAATTATTCACTAACCAAACTGACATCCCTAACATGGAGGATGTGTATGCAGTAAAGCACTTCTCAGTGAAAGGGGACGTGTACATTTGCTTGACAAGATTCATTGGGGATTCCAAAGTCATGAAATGGGGAGGCGCCTCGTTCCAGGATATCCAGAGGATGCCATCTCGAGGATCTATGGTGTTCCAGCCTCTTCAGATCAATAATTACCAATATGCAATTCTTGGAAGTGATTACTCCTTTACTCAAGTGTATAACTGGGATGCAGAGAAAGCCAAATTTGTGAAATTTCAGGAATTAAACGTTCAGGCGCCAAGATCATTCACACATGTGTCTATTAACAAGCGTAATTTCCTTTTTGCTTCCAGTTTCAAGGGAAACACACAGATTTACAAACATGTTATAGTTGACTTAAGCGCATGAGACACCAAATTCTGTGGCTGCCATCAGAAACTTTCTACAGTACCTGACCCGGATGAACTCAATGCATGATGACTCTTCTTATCACACTTGCAGATGAATGCCTTTCAAACATCGAGACTGCTAGATCCAGGCACTACCAGTATCTCCATCCTTAACTGTCCAGTCCAGTGGTGTGGAAAGTTACCTTTTATAAGACAAAATTTAATTCCGTAACTGTTCTTTGCAGTGAAGATGTGTAAATAAGCGTTTAATGGTATCTGTTACTCCAAAAAGAAATATTAATATGTACTTTTCCATTTATTTATTCATGTGTTCAGAAACAACTGCCAAATAAAATGTTTACATTTTCTTTCATAACCCAAAGGTAATTATTTACAGGAGTTACTTTATTCTTGATGGTATGTCAAGGAAATGGTTTTGTACAATAGGGTTATATTTGGATTGAGGACTTATGGTATAAATAATGAATGAAAATAGAACCCTGATATTATTACCCATAATCTATTAACAGGCTTATCAGTGACTGAATCAGCTGATTTTGAACATTCAAAGGTGTTTCCAAAGGTCATGGGTTTTAGGGACACTTTAAAGTTTAATGGTGACAAATTAAAAGAAGAGTAGAGAAATTTGCCTATTACAAGAAGACTAATTTGAAGTAAAGAACAGGAAGACCCATCTTTTCCTGTCTGATAGCCCCAGCTAAAAGCATCACTCACACAACTTATAGGAGAAATTAAAATCAAGATATAGAGTTTAAAAACCGCTATTCAAGGACTTTCTAAATATCTGACTCTAGAATCATCCGACAGCTGGTAGAGGTTGCAGCCTTATAGCACTTACCTCTAATGTAACTGCCATGAAGGCCTCTTAATCTGATCACGATGCTTCGATTCCAGAAACCAATTCTGGTATTATCGACATGCTGCAGAGTGCCCAGAAGGCTCATATTTGATTTTCTAAATTCCTGCTCCCAGATCACGCGGGTTGTCAGCACCTAGCACAATGCCTGTGATGTAGTAGGCTCTCTATAAAAAATGCTTTTGAAGAAGCACATGTGTCTTCCTGTTATAATATGATAATAAACTTTATATTATTTATTAGTAATAAATAATAATAACCTTTATAATAATAAACCTATTCGGTAAGTATTTATCGAGTACCTGTTAAGAATGGGGTATTGTTCCCGGGAGAGAGGGATAGTGAGGAAAAGTAGGGCATGGTCCTTGCCCTCTGGGACCTTAGAAGACTAATCGGGGGGTTAGAACACAAAAACCTACAGAGCAAGCAGGGGGTGCCAAGTATCATCTGAACATTCCAGATCATAAATATTATGGAGTATCAAGGATGACTTCTGGGAAGACACAGTCCCTGTTGAAGATGTGATTTCAAAAGGGGATTGTGGCAGAGAAGATATTCCTGGCATGAACTGCTTCTGTCTGCTGCCTTGTCCTGCTCATTTGTCCCCAGACCCCTTTGCCCTGCGACTGGGCGGGGGCGGGCAGACAGCAGTCCCTCTGCCCAGCACACATACGGCAGACTGGAGGCATCAAAGATACACACAATAGTTCCATCATCCCTGGGCAGTTATGCACAGGAACCAGATTCCTTTTCCCACATAGGAAAGATATGAACTCTGACATCAGGGTATGGGGAGAAGAATATTTACACACTCCCATCCTGCACACAGGGAGAACTGGCCTTTGAATGTCTTCTACTTTTTTCAGTTTCCTTTTCCTATAAGCAGCATCATATGCTGTTGGAGAGCACCTATTTTTGTATAGACTGGGCTTAAGTCCAGCTCTGCCATGTACTGGCTTTGTCCACAGGCAACTTACTTAACCCCTCTGAGCCTCGGTTTCTTTATCTGTAAAGAGGGACAATAGTACCTACTTCCAGGAACAGTAGAAAAATTAAATGAGGTAGTACAGGTTGTATTTTTCAAACCATATCTCCCATCCCACATGCTCTGTGAGAACCATGTCCCCACCCCATCAAGAAGTGGCACCTAATTCACCTAATTCACCTAAATATGAATGGGTTTGTGACTTGCTTGTAATAGAATGTGGTGGAAATAATACCATTTGATTTCTAAGGCTAGATTATAAAAACGATGAGGCTTCTGCCTTGTAAACTGGGACACTTGCTTTTGGAGCCCTGAGCAGCCACCTAAGAAGTCCTGCTAGCCCGAGGCCACCATTTTGTGATGAAGTCCAGCCCCACGGAGAAACCACATGAAGGTGCTTTGGTCAACAGCCCCAGCTGAGGTCCCAGACAACAGGCATCATCAACCACCAGGCCTGTGAGGGAAGGTATCTCGGGGTGATTCCAGCCCCCAGCTGTCCAGCCACTGCCAGACATCAGATCTTCCCCACTGAGGACCCGGATTCCCAGACAACAGGCATCATCAACCACCAGGCCTGTGAGGGAAGGTATCTCGGGGTGATTCCTGCCCCCAGCTGTCCAGCCACTGCCAGACATCAGATCTTCCCCACTGAGGACCCGGACGTCATGGAGCAGAGACAAGCCATCCCCACAGTGTCTTGTCCAAATCTCTGACCCACAGACTCTACGAGCATAATAAAATGGTTGTTTTAAGCAGCTAAGTTTTGGGGTGGTTTGTTATGTTTTAAGCAGCTAAGTTTTGGGGTGGTTTGTTACACAACAGCAGTAAAGTGCTTAACACTATCTGGCACACATGAGCACCCACCAAGCAATAATTATTGCTGACAGGCTCCACATGCAGAATATGACATACTTTAAACACAACAGCAGTAAAGTGCTTAACACTATCTGGCACACATGAGCACCCACCAAGCAATAATAATTGCTGACAGGCTCCACATGCAGAATATGACATACTTTAAGGTCATGCTATACCTTCTTGTCTTAATGGAATTCACTGTTATTTCACTTTTAAAGAGTAACTGCTTCTTTTTTAAAAAAATATGTTATCGGTATTCTTACTCTGTGCCAGGCACTGTGTTGAGTTCAGGGATGCAGAGATTAAAGACCTAGATTCTGCCCTGTTTGTTTTCAGAGAGCATTGACCACTGAAGTTAGCAAACCGACTCTCTGACTTACCTTAAGGCCTGAGACCCAGAGACGCTCAGTGAGCTGGCCCAGTTAGGGCAATCACCCAGGTTTCCTGATACTCAGCCCAGTCCTCTCTCCATCGCGTGGTGCTAACTCTCAGAAACTCACTTTCCAGTCTGAACCTGGCATGGTAGATGGGGAGAGAGGTGATGTGTGGGAAGGCAGACTGAGAAAATAAATTCAAGAAAGACTGAGGAGAAGGATCAGCCTTCCTTAGACTTGCCCCCTCTGTGTACCTGTTTTGGGAAAATACAATAATTTAATCAGGCCCCCTTGCCTTGGGTCCAGTTGGGGGTGGTGCAGCACATGCTTTGTAAGCAAATTGTTGGGGGGGGTGGAGTTAGTGCACCTGCTGGGTGCTGCGACTTGGCAGGCATCTGCCTCGGGCATCCACCACGTGGCCAAGCTCTCCAACCTATGGCTTTCAAGGACCTATTTGCTGGTTACCTAGCTCATACACCTGCGTGTGAGGGGTCTGGTGACCCAGCCTGGCGTGTGAAGGGTTTGTGACCCAGTCTGGACAACAGGCTTGAGGGATCTGTGAGCTCCAGACCCAGCCCTAGCTCGACAACCTGTCCTCTGCCCTGTACTATATAACTCCATCCCCCTCCAGCCACAGATGATTGGACCTGGAGTGAACTCCCAATCCAAGTGTTCAGCCCAGAAGCTGGGCTGGGCTCAGCCTGAGCCAAGCTAGTTCTCTCTCCTGGGTATTCGGTATGAGGACAGCAGAGGCTGGGCAAATTAGCCATGGGCACCAGATGTGTGAGGTGATGATCTTAAATCAGGTCCCCTGGAAACAAAGGGATGTATTGAAGGAGTGCTCTCAGGGCGCACCTGTAAGGGAGTAAGAGGAACAGTGCAGGCGAAGGAAGGCACTGTGCAAAGACAGAGAAGTCTAGCTGCAGCCTGACCCCACAGGGAACTTGAGGCCATTCATTGTACCACCTTGAGGCAAGGAGGGTGGACTTTTCTACCCCCTTGTTGACAGTCACTGGCCAAAGAGTGAGATATAACCTCTCAGGCCCCTCCAGGAGAGAAGGTTCCAGTTGGCTAAGGACAGTCCTCCAGAGAAGGGTACTCATGTGAGCTATTGTTAACCGACACCCACAGCAACCTCAGGATGAATGCATCAGCCTAGTGAAGGGCATCTGGCTGGGACACCAACTGCATGAGCCACAGGCCTGGTGACTGAGGAGGGGCCACCCTTATGGAGCAGCCATGATGGCCCATGTGCCAGAAAAGCAGAAGAAGCCGGTCAGAAGAGTGAGAAGAGGATGACATAGACACTCAGAAAGACACAGGGAGGGAGAGAACAGAGAGAGGAGAGAAGAGAGACAAGGGAGTGAGAAAGGGGATGGAGGGGAAAAGAGAGCAAAGAGGACAGAGAGGCAGGGAGGGCAGGAGAGTGGAAGCAAGATCGGGAGGCATGGGGCTCCAGGGAGGTGTGCGGCTCCAGGGAGGTGTGCGGCTCCAGGGAGGTGTGCTGCTCCAGGGAGGTGTGGTGCTCCAGGGAGGTGTGGGGCTCCAGGGAGGTGTGCTGCTCCAGGGAGGTGTGGTGCTCCAGGGAGGTGTGGGGCTCCAGGGAGGCGTGGGGCTCCAGGGAGGTGTGCGGCTCCTGGGAGGTGTGGGGCTCCAGGGAGGTGTGGGGCTCCAGGGAGGTGTGCTGCTCCAGGGAGTTGTGTGGCTCCAGGGAGGTGTGGGGCTCCAGGGAGGTGTGCTGCTCCAGGGAGGTGTGCTGCTCCAGGGAGTTGTGTGGCTCCAGAGAGGTGTGTGGCTCCAGGGAGGCGTGGGGCTCCAGGGAGGTGTGCTGCTCCAGGGAGGTGTGCTGCTCCAGGGAGGTGTGGGGCTCCAGGCTGCGTTATCTAAGAGCCAGCTTGAGAAGTTAGAGGACACAGATTTATGAGGGAGTACTCTTGAGGTCAGGACCTGGAAAGGAGGAGAAGGAAGCAGGATTGGACAGAGGGAGAAGCTGAGCCAGGACTCAATTTCAATAAAAGCCTTAGGCAACCATGTAGGGAGCTCCAGAGCTGAGATCTCTCTTCTCAGTTGTCCCAAGTTGCTGCAAGGGGACCAGGCCTTTATACATATGCAACCTCCATGTTAGTTAGCCATTGAATGTGGCTGTCCCTGCAAGGAAGTGTGGCCTTAGGTGAGACTATTTCTTTAGCCAAAGCAACCCCAAAGAGGACAGACAGCTAAGGCCATCCTCCAGCAGCACTCCCAGCAGCTGGGAAAATACACATTTAATTCCTGATGGGGACCGTGCAACACATCTGCCACAAAGGAGGAGAGGGAGCGGAAGAAAGAGAGGCAGACAGAGAGAGAGAGAGAGAGGGAGAGAGAGAGAGAAGGGGATAAGTTGCCTTCGTTCCTAGTGGTTGTCCATTTCCTACTCCATCCCTCGTTAGATCCAGTGGTGCTCCTGCCCTTGAATTCTTTGAGGTACTTCTGTGACCTTCTGATAACAACGCCTTCGTTCCTAGTGGTTGTCCATTTCCTACTCCATCCCTCGTTAGATCCAGTGGTGCTCCCTGCCCTTGAATTCTTTGAGGTACTTCTGTGACCTTCTGATAACAACCCAATACACACACACACACATTTTATTTTGTTTTAGGTTAGTTTGAGTGGATTTCTGTACTCATGACAAAATTATCTCCAACTAAGTCAGAATGCTTAGGCACAATTTATTATAATATAGCTATCATGGCAAGCACTAAATGTTTCAGTCTTTTTTCCAACTTCAGTTCATGCTGTATAATTTCTAGTGATCTATCTTCAAGTTCACAGACTCTTTCCTCTGTCATCTCCAACCTCAAATTTCTTCAAAAAGTAATATTATTTCATTCTGACCAGTGCTTCTCAACTTTAAAAAAAGGTCTGCAATGTATTCAAACGTTTTGGATCATAGAAATTAAAAGATTTCCAAAATATTTTGGACCAATATATTTCCAATTGTATTGTAAACCAATATTTTTGGAAATTAAAATAAAAATGAACTAGTAGAAAAAACGATCACGTTTGGTTATAATGGCAATGCCTCAAGTTCTGTACTATGCCATCTCAAACTGATTCCAAACTCTTCCTGGACTGGCATTGTTCCTAGGACCACACCTGTACATACACTTAACTAGTTAATTACAGCTCAGCTCACTCAATCCAGCTCTTATATGTCAATCATAATGTGGGGTGTAAAGGCATTTTCTTATGATTTCTCCCAAGGGCATAAGGACCTCAAGGGACACCACCTTTTAGGAAGATCTAAAATGGCCTTATAAAGTCCTGACGGTGGAGTTCCAGATCTGATCTGACTTCTCTCACTCCAGCATCCTTCACTTAGCCCATGTTCCAGTTACCCACACAATTTGCCAATCCTTCTTCATCTAAGCACAACCACCTACAATGCCCTTTCTGCACTTCTGTACCTTTTGAAATCTTAGTCCTTCTCATCCTACCAGTTGGATGGCTTTCTCAGCCTATTGCTTTTAACATGAGCAAGGCTCATGTTTCATTCTGCCTTGCTTTATGGTTAGTTATTCATATATCCATCTCTCCCACCAGGTTACACACCCCTGAGGGTCAGGACTGTGTCTTAGGCACCTGCGACTCTTCCATCCCACCCCACCCTTAAGCTCCTAGAACAGCCCTGCTTTTTAGAGGATCCATAAAGTCGGTGGAAATCAAATAGCTTAAGCCCAGCAGCTTCAGCATTCCTGTTTGCATATCTGAAAGGCAGCCACATTCCCTGCAGCGAGTTCCCAGCCCACAAAGAATCCTGGCCATGGATTACCTCAAAAGAATAGGCCCGAACAGGTTGCTGGCTCCCCAGGGGGAACTGGGGTGGACTGAAAGGTGAAAGAGACACAATTTATTTCCTAAATAAGTCCTTATTAAAAACACAGACTGCAGATCTACCTAAAACCTGGTCCACAAAACTGCAGGATGGGAACTGATTTAATTAATCCATGGAAAGCAAAAGGGCAAGAAGCTTGATACCAACACTTTCAGAAAGTCTCTGACCTTTGACATTTTTATCCCCAGAGAGGGCTCCACATCCAAGGTCAGCACTACTCAGACACTCCCCAGGGGGAGCACCCTCCCTAGCTGGAGCTTTTAACAATAATTCCCAGAGAAACTGTGTCCCAGAAATCAGTCCTCTTAGCAGTGCCAGGACAACTGTCCTTTGTCCTTCGTTCCTTTGATCCTGCCTACCCACACATACTTAACAATTCTAAATAAAATATCTTTAATACAGGACATATTCTTTAA